ATAGATAAGAACAAACTGAGATAGATAGATAGATAGATAGATAGATAGATAGATAGATAGATAGACAGAAAGACAGATAGATAGATAGATAGATATGAACTGATAGATAGATAGATAGATAGAAAGACAGATAGATAGATAAATAGATAGATAGATAGATAGATAGATAGATAGATAGAAACAGAATAAGATAGATAGATAGATAGATAGAAACAGAATAAGATAGATAGATAGACAGATAGATAGATAGATAGATAGATAGATAGATAGACAGACAGACAGATAGATAGATAGATAGACAGACAGACAGACAAACATAGATTATTTAATTTTTCTCTTGTATTCTGTTTTCATTATTCTTTAACATGTTTATTCTAAAATAATTTTGCATTTTTCTTTTACAGATAAATCAGTTGTGTGGATACTTCATAAAATGTACAAACCAGAGAAATTTTTAAAAAAATAATTAATTTTAATAAAATATAAACAAATTAATAATATATAAGCAAATAATAATAATAATAATAATAATAATTTTTTTTTTCTGTCAGTGGAAAGTGTCATGACGCCATTTCTAACCTTAGGTCCCTGGGCGGGACCCGGAAAGAAATGTGTAGACGCCAGAAATCAAAGAAAATAATAATAATAATAATAATATAATGAATATTATTATTATATTATTATCCTAATAATAATTATATATAAACACGTTATATTAAAATCACTTAACAGCTATACAAAAAGTAATTTGTAATTAAGTTCGGGAGCAATGCAATCACCTATTAGCTAGGGTAGATTTTAAAACTTACAAATGTATACTGACATTCTTACCTGTTTATATATATGTAAATGTTACACTTATGAAATATTACACCGGTTATTATAACACTTCTGTTTCAAAAAAAAGAAAAAAAAGAAAAAGAAAATCCGTCAATCTCGAAAGAGTTCACGACCGTCGTGCTAGCTAATCCCTGTTGCAGACGCTCGCTCAGGCACATTGTTTTTTAACACCCACAGTGCCGACTTGTTTCGTTTTTTTGTTTTTTTTTACACTCCAAGTATGCTGAGTGAACCTTAGTTTCATTTTCAGGTAGAGTGTACAATCCGATGCGAACAAAGCAAGTTCGCACAGACCCTCGGTCACGATGACTTATGACTTCGTGCTAGTCCAACTACCGATGTCTTCTACCCAATTTCACTCGCAAGTCTTGGGTCAATCCGTAATGTGGTCTTCAGGTACTTCCAAAGGTACCACACGCCGAGATTCTCTACCCAGGTCAAAAATACACCACATTGAGAAATGGTGATATTCAATCACGGGTCGCAAAATTATATATAAACTTATACATCTAATATTATTTGAAATGTTTTTTTTTGGTGCAGCTAATTTAAAATAATACCTGAAACGAAAGCAAATTTTGAGAAAATGAAACAATATTCCAAATTGCAACTGGAAATATAAGAACGTAGCTGAAGTGCAAAAAAATGTTTAGATTAGAGTTTCATACAAATTTACCAAAGAAATTGTTCACTGTGCCCACAAATATCATCCCCTAAAATTCCTGAAGACCGCGGACATATACTAACCGAACAAGCGGATACTTGAAACTTACCATCACCATCCCATAAAATCTGTTTGGTAAGCACCTCGTGAGATAGGTATTTAACAATTAGACACTACTCCTCTTCATGTAAAAATAAGGAAACAATTTTCGGAGGGCGGGTGTGGAATTGGTAGATTAGCATTCAAAAGACCTTCTTCCGTCACGACAAATATTGATTTCTTTTTATCAATTTATAAGTGTGGTCTTTCCTCTGTCACATCTATTTTTTTTTTTTGAGAGTTACCAGTACTTTATTTTTATTTACAAATGTCACATTTGAAACTGTGCCTACGTTATTGATCTGCTTCCGGTTAATGTTATGTTTACTTTTTCATTTTACATTTTTAAAAACTTTTTAAACTTGTTTTTGTTTTGGTAACTTTTTTTTAGTAGGACACTTGCACAGATATTAGGGGATAATAATTATTTATCTTACATGAAGAACAAACGGTTACATACATCTTTTAATTTCTTTAAAATATTTTCTTTAAAGAAGTCGCATAGAAGTGTATATATTCATGTGTTCTTTAATTAAATATTTGTTTAAAATATTTTCCCAAAATAAAACACGTAAAACCGCTTGGATCAATGACATAAGCACAGTTTGAAACTTGACATTTGGACATGAAAACGAGGGGCAGATAACTCTTTAAAAACTCAGACATCGATTTGATACTGTATTTATATTATGAAGTTATCCTCACTTTAAATTGATAAATTAAAAAAAAATACTTTTCAATTCTATCTTATTAAAGAAAAATATGATCTCTCTAGCAACTGTGAATATTCAGGCCGGTAGACGAAAATAAATAAATATACTCTATTGAAATTGGTCGGACTATCATCTTCATCTTTGTCGCCATATTCATCACAATGTTTCGGCCGTTGTACATTGTTCTTGAGGACACATTGCACTGTGGATAAAGGCGTTAGTTAGATCCAGTGACAGGACCCAAAGTGTGTGAATTTACATACCTGGTTAAGGCGGTGGAGAACTTTCAGAGGGGAATTAACAGGAGATAACTGATAACTGATATCTATGAGACATGGCACGTGGAAATAGAGCAGTCTACCCCAGCGAGCGAAATAGAGGTTTTAGTTCGACATTCCAACCACCTGAAGAAGGCCGGAGCATACAACGGCCGAAACGTTGTGATAAATATGGCAACAAAGATGAGGATGATAGTCTGAACAATGTAAATAGTGTACAAAATAACTCATCTACGAAATATAGACAGATAAAAAAATACTGTTTAATAAATAACAGAACGTCTACTCAAATACGAGTATCCAATAAAATAACGTTTAAAGTCGTACAAATCTGTTGGATAAGTAAAAAAATCCATTACTTACTGAGTGTAATAGCAAAGTTGTTCAAATCAAGTTAAAGCAAAATTTAGATTAAACTCTGAACAGTTGTATCTTAGAAATGATTAAAGATATCTTACTAGAATTCACCGGGATTTTTTAATGCTACTATTTGACTCTACAATAGCAATAAGAATATATAATTACTCCACGTGATGAAATCCAGCTATGGATCGGAAGCTCATGAAATAGAGAAATAAAGTTCAAATATATATATATATATATATATATATGTGTGTGTGTGTGTGTGTGTGTGTGTGTGTGTATTATTCTAGATGATCTTTGTTCTCTCTAACCTTCTAACTTTCTGTCCTTGAGTAACAAGTTTCCTCACACATATCACGTATGATTTCATTTACAAGTTTTTTTTTACTACTTTTGGACTGTCATAGCTGAAACTCCGTCTCTCACATCTCAAATGCCTTATGGATTGAGTTGGATCTTTTCTAATTGATCTCTTTAGCTCAAAGTTGAAATGATGATCCCTCTTCCTGTTATGACCGCCTGATCCAGTTTTCCTCTCTACTGTTCCCTCTTTTTTAAACTTATTCGCCATTCTCTTGATGGCTCTTGAATGGACTTTGAAAGATGTGAGCCAGAGTATGCCATTACTGAAAGCCTGAATGATATTTTCCCTCTCACCATTGCTCAGTTGAGAAGACATAGTTGAGCGGACACAGACCGATTTTAACCTGTTCTTTTTCTAGTTGAATAACTTAAAGGGGTTTTAAGAAGATTCTTCTGACATATGTTATCAAGATGGCTAAACG